CAATCATCTGGGATGTCATTCATACTACTGTCTTTACTTCCAAAGATAAATATTGCCATATCATTGAACTTCACAATGGCCATGGATATGAAGCCTTAAAACCAATCATCTGTAAAACACACACCCTCCTCATCAAGTCCCCTTCCATGCTGGTCACAACTTGCCCTGCTACTCAAGTTACCCTTTCCCTCATGGAATATTGGAAGAAATACAACCATTTGCACGAGATTACGTGTACTTTGCTTTAAGTGTGTATGAATAATGAAATTAAAATTATAAGATTAAAGATTATCATGTGAGTTCACAAGAATTCCAGAGTTCCAATTAGATCCTTATCTAGATCTGGTACTGAATCTAGTACATGAGGTTCTTATTATTTTGGACTAGTGACATCTTTATTCTTTGCAATGTCATCTCAAATTGTACCTTGTATTCTTAGACCTCTTGGTACAATGGATCGTATGATATATATGTATGAATAGTACCTTATGATATGTAGGTAGGAATGGTATGTCCAACCATTCCAATTCCGTATCCTTATTTCCATGCGTACGTATTGATACACTTGTATCGCATGTATGCTTCCATACTGTACGTATCCGTTGCACCATTACATCATGCTTTGTGCATTAATCAATGGCAATACACAAACAGTATATGATAAAAATGAACGCAAACACTTTGTCAATGGATATATAGATTCTTCTTTACTTCAAACAGAAATACGTCATCAACAGGACTTTGATCACCTAAAACATAAATTTGAACTGTCCAACTTTGTTGCAACTCTCCAACAATATTTGAACTTTCCAAATAGCCCAGTGCAGATAACATCTGTTCTTGCACAAATGCTGACCCAAAAATACAATTTACATACCAGCATACAAACGTCCTGAAAACATTTGGAAACATATCTCTGTCAACTAGGTCCAAATCACCAAAATTGACTAAGACAACCTAAAAAAACTTAAGCTTTGCCTACTCAACGTCCATAAACCAAATCAAAGCAAACCTGGCCTCCTTGAACTGTCCATGCCTTGTTTGTGAAATGATGACAGGTCAAACTTCCCTAAATACTTTCAAAAATTATCCAATCCTTCAACAATCCAATCTCCTCTGCCAACATTTCATTAACTTCTGCCAAATGTATAGAAATTCCCAAAACACATTTGCAAAAATAAACAAAGCAATAAACCTTGTTCATACGGAAGCACCAACAGGAAAAACTCAAATGATTGTTGACAATACATCTCCAACCAAGAATGTATGAGAACACAAAATGGATTTTTTTAGGGCGGACAACAAAATTGGAAACTCCAAGCCCTACCTTATCTCTGTCACCAACAGCCCCAGTCCTCCATATGCTTAACACCTCCCACATAATGCATATGCCATTCATACCATCCAGGGACATAATGTGTGATACATCACAATACCCACCACCAAACAATCTCAAAGCACTAAAATATCCACATGATACTTTTACACTGAAGATTGAAAAAGGTCCTGACAATCCCTACTGACCTCTCTCCAAATCCAATTCATTGATGTCAAATCCTTACATGTCACAAAGTCAAAAGATACTTTGCGTGACCAAGATTACAAAGGAATTAATGGTGAAACAAGTTGGATTCTTATCTCTGTTAACTTCACACAATATTTTGTTGGAGACACTTGACTCTCAAAGGCCTCTCCCATAACATGGCTCCAAAAGTGCCTCAATATCCATACACCAAATTGTCCAGACAAATACTTTTACATGGATCAAGGTGGTGAACTTTATCACAACCCTGAAGTACACAAACTATTTACACAAAAAGGATATCAAATGTGCTCAACAGGTGCTGATTCATCACATCAAAATGGACCAGCCGGATGGGTACATCATTGAACCATTGCCAACAGAATATGTTGCCTTCTCTCTGGCGCTAACATCCCCATCAAATTTTGACCTTCCGCTTTTCACCACTCCCTCTGAATCTTAAATGCTTTACCACAATGCAAGAAAACTAAATCATGAATCCGACTTGCCACTGGCAAGAAAGAAAATTTACAAAATTTCAATACCTTTTGTTGCAGAGTTTGGGTACATCTGCCTGGAAGATGACCAGCAAAATTCAAAGATAATTCCAGAAAAGGCATTTTCCTTGGTTATCTCCCACAAACTAGAAGAAACATCCTTTGGTATGATGTCAAAAACCAACTGTGTCAATATTGCATTGCATGCTTGTTTAGACAAAGTAATGAACGACTTGCCAACACAAGATATCCCACCAAACACTGTACACTTACAACAATCCAAAACTCATGGTTCCAACATATCTCCAGACGAAACTGAAACTAAAGACAACTAGCTCCATTTTATACATATCACCATTTCAGGATATTGACCTCCAAAATCCATTTCATTGTGCCTGCACTGACAATGCAAAGTTTGTAAATCCGGTGAACGCCAATTTTGCAACTGTTGCAACAGATCAAAATGTTCTGGTCCTTTGCTCCATGCAATTGCTTTCACATACTCATCCTGCGTTGAACAATCTGTACAAAGACTCTTCTTTGCTCTGACTATCATCCTCAACTATAAACCATAGTACACTGGCAATGCTAAAGATGCATATGCTCACTCTCTGCCACCCAAGGTACCAACTTTTGTTGCTATTGATGGCCAATGTGCAGATTGGTACTGCATGTACAAATGGAAATTTGGAGAACAACTCCATCCAACACATGTACTCCCAGTACAACATGCCCTACAAAGTCACCCTGAATCTGGATGACTATGGGAAGAATATATCAATAAAATACTCTTCTCTGAAGGACTCAAATTCATGACGACAACTCATGACAAGTATTTTTACCAAACAATTTACAAAGATACAAATATACTCATGTTACAACAAGTTGAAAACTTCTTGATATCTTCCCCTAACGCCACCCTTAAAAATAAAATCTATAACATCATTGGCTAGAAACTGCAACTCCCAAAAGAAAACACATATCATTTAAGGATTTGGGAATTGCCACAACATATAACGGCATCAATATCAATTAAATACAACACTACATTGAAATTTTGTGTGAAGATTACATTGACCAAATTGTTTGTTGGCATAACTGGACAACATCCAAAGACAAACTACTCAGTCATCCAACTACCCCTCTCCCTGAAAGAGCTTTGGACCATGTATTCAGTGAACAAGGCCCACCTGAAGGATCCACTGAACACAAGAAATAAAACAACAACACAGATTTTCCTACCAAACTCTTCTTGGCAAAATCCTATATGCTTACAATGTTTGTTGTCCCAACATAGGATTTGCTGTATCTACTACGTCAAAATTCTCATTGAACCCATCAGACCTACACTTCAAACACCTCAAAGACATTGCTCTTTACCTTCAACACACAAAAATGTGGGATCTATGATACTGCAAAACTACTATACTACTACAAAACAATGAACTGCCAGATGGCAACTTCAAAGATTCACCAATACCATTACGGGATAATCTTCCACCATTTCCATTATTACCTACAAACACCACCATCACCTGTATAGTTGATGCTACATATATGAATATCAAACCAAAATGAAAATCTACCACTGGATTTGCAATCATGTTAGCAAATGCTGCAATTGTATTACAAATTGAAATCTCAAACACAAACTGCACATAGCTCAACTGAAGCAGAATTTGATGCCACTGTCTCTGCCGCAAAAAATGTTCTATACCTCAGGTATATTATTGCTGACCTCAGATTTCCTCAACAACAACCAACAACATTGTATGAAGACAAAAAATTCCACCACAAAAATTGTAAGCTCAGGAGTTCCTATGGAACAATCACAACACATCAATATTCCTTATTTTGCAATACAAGATTGGAAACAAGACCTATTTATAAAGATGCAGTTCATCAATAGCACGATCAATCCTGCAGATGCACTGACAAAGATACTAGTAGTCACTCCCACAACTACTACTGTTACTACTACTACTGTTACTATAACCGCTACTACTTCTACTGTTACTACTACTATTAATACTGGTACTAAGGTGAAACTCATCATAGTAGTACTACTACTAGTAGCTAGCAGTACTAGTACTATGGAAAATTATTTTCATTATTCAACAGTAAAATAGTACCACAATTATCAATGCAATTAGAAATCAGAGAAAATGGTATGTTCAGAATCAGAATTAAAAACTGGACTAGACTAGCTACTCAAAAATTAAATTAGTAGTATTTTTGATAAGGCTGTTACTGCTTCTTAAAGGTTGGATAGTTTTGCTACTAGTATTATGCAGTAAAAATGAGAATTTAAAAAATGCTGGGGTGACTTTTTGGAAATTTGGACCATATGTGGAATAAGTCTCTCTTTTTTTTCTCCCACTTCCTCATGGACAAAAATTTGATGCGCTCCCCTCTAAATTATGACCCCTGCCCTTAGTTAAATGAGGATCACTAATCTGTCAAAAATTAAAAACTCAAAAAATATTTGAAAATACGACAAACGAAGAAATATTACGTACCAGGTACTACTAGGTTGTATTTATTATTTATTTCGTAGCGTACGTACGAAGTACCGTACCAATGCGTACAGTACCTTCTAAATTTTAAACTACGCACCGCACCCGCAGCTTGCTCGCTCGGCTCGCTAAAGTCGGTCTGCTGCGCCGCATCCCTAAGAAGGCCAATTCGTACCTACCGTACGGTACGGTACGATTTTCTTTCAAAAATGATTTGAATGATCTTATTTGAGGCGGCGCAAATACGTACCGGCCGTTATGTACAAGTACCGCATGTACGGCATCAATATCATTTATTGGGTACGGTACCTGGTACGTACTGGATGGATAAATTGATCTGTTGCGTGATCATGAGGTACGAAATTTCTCATCGAACGAACTCGCCTCTTGTAATGGACGAATTCTCCCCAGTACTGAACATACAGTATCTCCTGTCAATCAATACTGAAGTGTCCAACGTGGTTAAATTTTTTTACTCGTTTCTACCGGTAGATAATCCCATCATCAGTTTCAAAAATAATTTAAACTACCATTATTGTCACCATGAGCAACTGGGTTCGAAAGAAAAATGACCAACATACCAGCGACATAGAACCAGAGTCAACGGAAACATTTGAATCAGACGATGAGGAGGAGTACGACGAAGACGAAGACATTGAAGACATCTCGTTTTGGAGGGAACACGGACTGGCAATTTTAGTCGCCTTTGCTGCATCAATCATTGTTCATTTTCACAATCAAAACTTGATATCTTTATCGGGATTTTTAAACCGGCTCCCGTTCGGAACAAATAGTGAGAGACACAGTCATCTGGACGGGTTTTCGAGAATGGCAAATGTCAGCTTTTGTCGGCAACGAATTCAACCACCGGCCTCGGAAAGATTGAATTCGATGGATTTTTACATCCCTCGTGATCATTTCGAATCGTTGCTGACATTTTACGTCGCAGATCTGGATGAAGACGATTACTACGCCAATACGGATATCGCCGTTTCAAGTAGCAGGAAGGAAGACCTTGGCGCCCGTTTGAAGGATAACAAGGAATTCGAATGCCTTTCTGAACAACATCACATCAATCCTACTGACAAAAAATTGAAGGGCACAACTTACTTTTACAAAGACCCAACGCTCGAAGAAATCTATCCTGAACTAATGAAGGAAAATACTACACCTAACTTGAGTATGGTGAAGAAATCATCGAACGAAAGAAAAAGACAACTGGAACAGCCTCCACTTAGATTTACTGGATTTGCCGCAAAATTTGTGAATCTTGACACCGATCCCGTACTCTTATATTGGGATGGAAAAGGTGGACACGAAAGTTCTAGAAAGCTTGTAGGTGAGATTCCCCCAATGGAGTCGATTGGCACGGCAACAATGCCAGGACATTCATTCCATGTTACTCCAATATATGATCCTTCTACAGTCCTTAACCATTGGGTTGTGACACTAGATACAGCTCTTGTGTTTTATGAACCAAAAAGTGCAACGGAAATGAAACATACCCTGAAAGCAAAAGACCCTAAGTCTTATGCAATGTATCAGAGACAGATGGTCAACAAAGCCTTTTCCAGAGATTATACGATTATCAGTGGACGCACATGGCTTGGACATTTTCCCAGACCATTTCCCTTGCATTATATGCACGAAGCTTCTTTTATTGGCCAAGAGCATCAAGTTGGCGGTATGACGTTGAAGGTGGCATCGGTAAGACCGCGCGTCTTCACGATAGAAAACTTTTTGACATCGGAGGAATGTGAAGAAGTAGTTCGACTTAGCTTAGAGCAAGGCCTTACGGAATCGACATTGCATTCAAGCCCACAAGCAACACAGAATCGCGATGTTTCAACTCGTAGCTCGAGTAACGCTTGGTTGTCTAGAGAAACTAGCTCGCTAACAAAAATGATTTTCGAGAAAACAGCCGAGTTGACGAAGATCGACAGACACCTATTTCAGAAATTCCATGAATCTAATGCCAAGCGTCATTCGATCGCTGAATCGTTGCAGGTTGTACGATACAAAAAAGGAGAGGAATATACGCCACACCATGATTTTGTATCTCCTTCTATCAACAGTCGCCATCAACCGTCGAGGTTTGCAACCCTATTAATTTATCTTAATGATGTGGACGAAGGAGGAGAAACACGATTTCCTCGAGCTGTTAACAATTACAATGCGGAGGGCTTGGAAATCGTGCCGAAGACTGGGAAAGCTGTTCTTTTTTACAACACATTAGAGGACGGAAATCTGGATGATTTATCTCAACATGGAGGAAACAAAGTCCTTGCCGGCAACAAATGGTTGGCGAATTTATGGGTACGTGACTCCCAACCGCCTCTTTTACCAGCTCTTCAGATTTTGTCGTCGCAAAATTGGATTGGATTGTCTCTAACTTTTTCTCTTTTGCCGCTTGTTTTCGCAGATCTGGGACCCCGTGATCGGATGATTTTGATGCAAGAATTCTTCGCGATCATCGTAATTTGAGGGCAAAAAAATATGAAAAACATCTACCTTTATTAACGTGAGACGAAGAGGACCAATTAGTTCATACGTAAAAAATCCATTGGAAAAGCAAAACCATCATTATTTCTATCCTTGTAGAAGTAGTTCTCAGGTAAATACGATTCACTAAATTATTTTCTCAACGGTATTTAGCCGACTAGCGATACCAAGTAGTATTTCGATAACATGATTTTTTCCCCTGCCTACAAATCATTGTCGATTTCTGATGGCTTAATCATTCCTGGCACAGCGCTTCGTTGAGCCATCATCGCCTTTTCTTGTCGTCGTCGTTCGGCTTCCTGCTCTTCCGAGAAAAGAGCTGAATTATCTTCAGCACTGAATTCCTTCAACTCAATAAGGAAATCCCGAAGGTGTGTTTTGAACGTTGACAAATCCATTTTGATGTCAAACATCCCGTCAACAAACTTTGATACTTGAGTCTTCGATAGATTGGGGAAGCTTGTGATCAATAAGTTACCAATATATTCACGTAAAAATGCAGGATTGGTCTGTCCCGGTGGTTGGGTTGATGGCTCAAAAAGAGGGACAGTTACCTGATTAGCCTGCACCAAATGGAACATGTGACGCAGTAAGGTTGCGTGAATTTTAAATCCTGATTTGTGAAACCTATCCGTCATCACTGCGAAAACGTCTTGTATGAGCGACAAGAGATACTGCTGATAAAACGCTTGGGCGACGTTTGGGGTTCTGCCCACATTTAGCAAGAGCTCGTGTAAAATTTCCAATCCCTGTTTCGCACAAATGAAGTGAAGGTAGAATGAGTAAAGAAAACCAAAACATGATCTGGATCAAAGAGTCAAGTATATTCCGTGGTTCAAAAGGTTGAAAACTTACCGTATCAGAAATATTTCTTTCTTTATGCTTCATGGCCCAAACAATAGCATGTACGACCAGCTTCTGATGCTCTGGGGGGATATTAAATAGAGCAGGAAAACAGTGCTGATTGATAGCCCTAAGAAACTCATAAAAGCGGATTCTGTGCTCCGGAAAGTCTTCAAAGTTTTTGTTTATCATTTCAAGGGTGCATTCGAATACAGCTTCCATGATTTTGGGCACTTCATCAACAACATTGGACTTCAGCTTTTCGACAACCGTTGTAAAAAGCGTGAGGACTTCTGGATCTCGAGCACCCGCAATATTCCGCTTGTAATCACCTAGAATTGGATCCAAGACAGGTGGAATGAAACCTTTCGCTACGGTCATGGGCTCGGCTTCTGGTGGTCCACTCTTATCAATGAAGGTGATTAGTAGACGCAAAACTTCCTTCTTTGCACTACGCATTGTTCGGACAAGACTCATCTGGGTGGCAATAGCACCCTGTTGGGCAACTGCAGCCGATATTCTTTCCGAATATACTCGATATACATTTAGCATATCCATGAAGAACGTTTGAAGCTGATACGTAAATAGACCTCCTACACTTCTGCAAAGTCGATTGTTGGTCTTCAATATTTTGATGATTTCCTTTATGGTGGCAGGATCAACCAGGTTTTCAACGCTAAGTTTCGCTTGGTCCATGATGACTTCCCACGTACGATTTGGCATCTCCATGAGCTTCGATTGAAGCACTTGCCTATCGATCGCAACATTGGGCCCCCTGTCATTAAGCATACAACCAACTGCTTCATAAAAGGATTGAACCTGATGAGGTTCGAGGTCACTGATAATTGATGGCAAAGATTCCACCAGTTCGCTTATGAACGGAACCTGTTCATCCTGCTGGAGAGTGACGAATTTGCGCTTGCATTTCGTTGCAATCTTGAGGAATGTATCGCACGCCATGTCTTGAACACCAGGGTGTACTTCGTGCATGAATTCGAAAAGTTTGTTGACAACGGTTTTCAAAAATTTCCAGTGCGCTCTAAGAAAGCGAGGGTACTGTCCAACGACGTACATAATATTGCTTGCGACAACCGCTTTGTTGTCCTTGCCTCTTTTCGCCTCGCACATTCCTAATAGATCTTTGATGACCGTCACTAAAAATCTCTTTTCTTCATCTTCTGACATGGCTCCTGAAATACTGCCTATGGCCCAACAGAGTGTATTCAGAACATTGAAATCAAACTTTGATTCTACTCTGACCTGGTCCGAAAGCTTTGAAAGCATGATAGACTCCGTATCTTCGCAGTTCAGATGAGTCAAGTATACTAATGTATCCCGCATTGTTTTATATTGTGCTATGACATCAGTATCTTTGGTGGTTTCTCGTACGATATCTCCATTTTCGTCTTCCACAACCAAAACCTCCTCAGGTTTGGCCATATTGGCAATCATGACCTGTCGTACGCCGGTCAGGACTGAACTGTAGACGAATTTGCGAGACGATCTACTGGATGCGTTTCCATTTAAGTTTAGGACTCGACTGGTAGCAGATGCGTCGTAAAATGAAGATTGGTTGTTGTCGGCCTTGTAGAGATCCTCAGCTAACATGTGCCAAGCTTCGAGACAGATTCGAAAGATTTCAACGTCTTGTATCTCCGAAATGCGAACCAAGTAAAACATTCCAGAAATGAGTGCTTGTTCGGACTCGGGTGTTTCTAGTACTCGGAAATGTGCCTTAAAGAATCCACTCAAAAACAAAGCAAGTTTTTGGATGAAGAAACAATCTTCCTCACTACCTTCCTGAAAAGGCTTTCGGAGGTCCATGTCTGGAGCAAATATATCCCGGAGTCGTTGCAAGAACGTAGTGAATAAACCTCGAAACAAAGGATCGTACTGCGGCTCCAGATCTTGCAGGGTGCCTATTTCCGTCAAACAGTCGAGAGCATGATTCCGGAAAAGAGGAACTGGGAAGAACTTGTTCAATAATGTTTCAATGAGATTGGTCTGGAAGATAAATCCAAGGGGAATCCACGTGAGAAACCTTTGCAAAGTCTTTAACGTCACTCTTAACAAGCTTGGCTTCTGGCTGTGCTCCAGAACGAATTGGCACAGCTGAAAGATTTGCGAAAACTCTCCATTAAGCGACTCTTTCATTCTCTTCACTTTTTCAGTGACCATCTGATCCCTAGAGAAGTCAAACACCTCTTCGCTAAGAAGCTTTAGAATCTGCATATTGTTTTCGCATAGGACTTCGGAAGTCTTGGATGATCCGACAAGATCACTAATGAAAGAAGGCCAATTTTGAGGCCATTCCTGTTTCAGAATTTCGACCAGTGTGAGGTTGAGTTTACCAATAAACACCTTTTCCTGTTTCATGGTGGTTTCGTCTGACGACATTTTGATAACTTTCCCGACCACAAAGTTTTTGATTCCCTCTTTCTGATCTTTCGGTATTACTTTCCATCTTCAAGACCGGTTGCGAGCGAACATTTAAAAAATTGTGAGTTTTGCATGATCCAAAATTACATGACCACGGCGCAAGAAGAACGAAGAGTCAATGGAAACTGCATAATTACCGAACTCCCAAGCCAAAACATTAAAACGTACCTAATTTTGATAGCGTCGTCTAGTACTTGCAATCCGAAGAATCTGGAATTTGGATTTTGCGACTGTTCGATGATTCCGTCTGCCATTTGCCATAAATCTGGTGACTCTTGAAGTTGCATCAGAGCCTTGTTTGCTTCGGCACGGTGCGGTGAAATAGGATCATATGCTGCCCCGACGATTTGATCCAACAAGTTGATGTCAAAATCGCCGCTCAGGAGCTTCTGGGCGAGACCCTGTAGGTCTGGCGATGAAGCAGAAGCCATGTTCGTCCGCTCTTATCGCACTACAAAGGACGTGGTGAACTCGATTTTGATCTCGATCTATTTCCTCAATCCAATCCCACTCAGTCCACTTTCAGATGAGATTGCGTGAACCGACTCTTGCCAAACCTAACTCTGAAGATGATTCTGCTTTTGCAACAATACTTCAAGTATACTGTCGCTAACAGCTTTTCTCAAATTTTAGGCACGGTATGTCCGATTGTTTTGGATGGATGGCGACACCTAATCTGAGTTCTAATTTTGTTCTACCTGTAGCACTGTATGATGACCCTCCCAGGACCCACCTTCGCGATTCACTCGATGCGAGCGCGAGATGGTACGAGTACCGGAATCGTAAGGTACTACTACTAGTACTCATACTCGTACTCGTACAGCGCGGTGCAGTACTTTCCTACTCGTACTTCTTCTGGATGAGAATAACCAACGGCGTGCGGGACGTACTCGTACAAGTACCTACCGTACCGTGTATGATTCAGTAACGAGTTCATTCGGGGTACGAGTACTACAAAGTGGCCTCAACTGATTTACTTAACTCGAAAAAAAATAATCATGTGTAGACGATTTAGTGGCGACAAAGATATCACCGAAAGCTGAGTTGTACAGTACGGGTTAAGACGTGACAGCTTTTTTGCAGTACAAAATATACACAGCTCTACGCCCTGAACGATAGTCTTAATTTACACCCTGCACCTCAAGCTGTCACTTAGTTCCACCTGGAACCAAAAAGGAAATATTTTATATCAAATTATTTCCATATTTCGGAGCTTTCCAAGTGCACTCACTTTTTGAGAATTTGAATCGGCGAAACGAAATCGATTTCCAGAGACTAGTAGTTATTAACATGGAATAGTAGAATCGAAATCGATTCCAAGAACAGATTTCTCTTCAAGGAAAGAGAATTCGGATCAGCGAATCTAAATGGATATCTGGACACTGCTATTTAACATGGAAAAAAATCAAAATCAAAATCAAAATCGATTCGACAAACAGATTTCTCTCACGTTGATGGAAACTCCAAGCTTGAAGCTTTTTTCTTCTCAGAATTCAGATCGGCGAAACGAAATCGACATCCGGACACTGCTTATTAGCATGGAATAAAATTGAAATCGAAATCAATTCCAAGAACAGATTTCTCTTAACATAAATTACACTTCAGCAACTTCACCAACTACAGGATCAGCATCAACTAATCCTCTGACTCCATCCAGAACTTCAATAGGCATATTTGAGGCAACTCTTTCTTCTTCAGTCAAGCTTGCAATGAAATTCAGTGCTTGATTCTCCAATCTCTCTCTCCCTTCCATATGCAGTCTCCTTGATAGTTATCTCATCATCTTTCAGTTTCTTTAGCAAAGTCTCATCAGAATCAGTCCAAGAAGCTGATGGAGGTGTGGGAACATTTTTCACTGCCATCCACATATCCACCAGTTTGTCTTTCTTGGTGGGGATTTTCTTTTGCTATTTCCATTGGCACAAAACCTTAAGAGATGAAACTGGGAAGGATTTTGCATTTTCTTCCTTCCTAACATCTTTTCCATCTGAAGAAAAATTCTCAATCAAACCCAGAGCTTTTCTGTTCAAAGATGCTGCTGTTTTTGCAGCAGACTTCACTGTCTCAAAGTGCTTGATCTCATCCAATCGTCTGCTTCTTTCTTTTGCGATAAAATAATCCTTTGTGTTGAGTGTATCTCCGCCCGTTGAAATACTAAAGTGCTGGCTTGAATATTTAACGCCCGCAATCACATCTTGCCGTGCCCTCGTATTGGATTCCGTCACTTGTTCTACCAACTCCTTCCTATTTTGTGGTGCATACTTACGAAAAACTTCACCATTGAAACCACCATCATTCAAAACTTTAATTGCTGCAGTGTTTCTCTTCCCCTGTGCAATCAGTGCAGCTGTCTTCAGATCTGTGGTCAAATCAATCGATCCGTCTGGCAACACGATCAGCTCATGTTGAACTTTCTTGTCCTCTAGGCATTTTCATGTGAACAGAGAAATTCCAATGATTTTCCACATGTCTTTGCATCTTTCAATGGAGAAGGCTTCGTCAAAAGCAAAATCCAAAGTGACTTTTTCATTACAGCCATCACGCTTATCAAAAACTAAGAGGGGATAATCAGATTGCCAAAGATTATTGTTTGTCTTGCGTCAGTGGTGAGCGAGTTTTTCAAGATTCTTTCGGTACAGGGTTTTGAAATAACCATAATTACAATCTGTTGGCTGGGTGACATGTGTCGTATTTGGCATGCCCAGATGAAGCAGAAAACCGCGGGCTGCAAGGCTTGCCAATAATGCTTCGTTGTTTCTTCCAGGCCCACTGTCAACATTCAACATAACTCGTTTGCCAGGCAGATCTGCTGCATCTGGATAAAACTTAAGAATCGCATCCAATACGTATTTTTCAAATTCATCACCATCCAGTCCTGCATTGAGATTGCAATTCACCATTGCTCCATTGCTAGTCATACAATCACCACTGTATATGCCATTAGTGTTAGGAACACCGTTCACAAATAATTCATGGATACGTTTCTTCTCATCTTTGGTGGCATTTGATTTCAACTGGAAGTGCGGTGGCAATGGATATCCAGCAGCATTACTACCAGCAACCAAAGTGATTTGGGAACTGCTTTTGTTTGTCTTGTCAGCACCGCATCCAATGGCTTCGTCAGTTGACCCATAAGCCGTAGAAGGCCGTCCTCCTGACTGGCTCCCATTCCCATCAAGTATAAGACCAGACTCATCCAGATTAATGATCCTGTTGAGTTGTCCTGCAAAAAAACAAAAAAAAACCAATTTCACCTTCCTGGATTTCATCATCTCGCTTTAGCCTGACAAAGCCTTTTGCAACAAGTTCATGCTTCAGTTTGCTAAACCACATGTTAATATTATTATAAGCCCCTGTTCTCACCTGGACGACCAAAACAGATGGTTTTCAATACAATCCAACCAGTCTCCGCCCTTTTCCCACTGTCAGACAACCCCCACTGCCGCTCCCTGTACATGGCCGAGTCTCTTACGCAGACTAGTTCCTTGGCAGCACCAGCTCCTGCGGTTAGCACATTTTGAAACTGATTTTTTATCAGTGATGGATATATTCACTTCTGGCATCCCTCTTCTCATGGTTTCCGATGGGTCAGGCAAAGACGGTTGTATGTCCTTTGGCTGGTCTCTAGCCACTATAGCTGGGGATTGAATTGCCCACACCAGTGGCCCCTGCTTTGGCATTGAAAGCTCTCTTCAAGCTGAGGCTACAGGCTTATTATCAGCGAGTCTCTTTCTCACCCTGCTCGTTTCGCACCTACGCCACCGCGCACCCGAGAATAGTGCCGATGACAATAGTTCCCCTAGTTCATCATCCTCTTCCGACGCTTCTCCTTGCCCTACACAGGTCACTTTTGTCAGTGACAGTAAGGCACTCATCATTCGACTTCAAGCCAGATGTGAATATACAGAGGTCTATGCTAATGCTACCCTTGCACCAGAATTTGACTTGATTGAACAGATTTTTCAGACCCTTCAGATTCCTTTCCTCACATACTCCTTTTCTTGGGTGAAAGGCCATCAGGATGACAACATTGACTTTGATCGCCTCCCTCTGACAGCCCAACTGAATGTCGAAGCTGATGGTTACGCTGGCGATTTTCAAGCCCAGATGACTACGCCAAATTTTATCACACCGGTGCTACCTTCCTGCCCAGCGGTTCTCCAGATCCAGTCTTGCTCTGTTACMGGCCAATATAAGAGAACTCTCACAGATTCTTGTTTAATCCCCCAATATCATTCATATTTGAGGGATAAGAACCAGTGGCCCCGACGAGTCATTGCTGACATTGCCTGGAAATCTTTGAGCATTGCCATCCACCGTGTCTCCCGGGATGTCTTGGTCACTAAATGTTGCAACAATATTCTACCCACTGCCACAGTTCTCAAACAGTGGAACTACTAACAGCAGTATACCTGCTGTCTGTGCCAGTTGCCTGAAGATTCCGAACATCTCTTTCGCTGTTCCCACCCATCACACATCAACTGGCAGAGACAGATTATCACCTCTCTACGACAACGCATGTCCACACTTGGCTTCTGACCAATTGTCACTGATACTCTAGCTACATGTCTTACCGAATGGCTAGACACAGGAACCGTTTCTCCAGAGAAATATCCTACATCCCTTCATCCYGTTATTCATTTTCAGAGTGAGATTGGTTGGCACCACATGTTTGCTGGTCACATTTCGCTCCAGTGGTTTAATGATCTTGATCTTCATTCCGACTCTTACTCCCCGCTTGTAACATCACAATGAAACCTGCACGCCGAGGAATCTTTTCCTTTTCCTTGCAAGCAAGAGCAACAAAAGAAGATATCGCATCTCCCGGTGCGTGTATAATTGACATCCCTTGGTAATTGACCCAATTGATAGTGCTATTGGGAGTACAGCACTTGCTCTGGGGGGCACTGGCTTGCTTGTGTTTGTCTTGTTGTTGTTGTTATTGCTCATTTTGCAGCCAAAGTACAGCAAAAACTGCTTTTTCTTTCAAAATACTCGGTCAATCGTAATGATACTTCCGGATCAAGTCTAATTTGATATATTAAGGACGTTCCGCGCACTGGTTGTCTGTGTTATTGAGGGGAAGATGGTTTCTTTTTTGTTACACTACTGCTTTTGTCGTTGCTAATTTCACAAAGATTTTTCACTGTTGCTTAGATCTCCTGTTTCTTGTAAACCACTTGGTCGATTGATCTGATACTTCACGATCCTCTTCCCCTTATTGTAAGGATTGTAACACTTGTCTTGTGAGCGCAATTGGTTRGRTATTGATRAAGAWCTRRAGRAGTGACAGCTTGCTTTGTTGAGGTTGATTAAATGAGAATATTTTGTATTTTTCGTGCGCTCAGAAATCAACAAGCCCAAAAACGTTCTCTGACAGGAAACATGTACAATATGGACATGTATCAAAAGAGGAGGGAAAACCCTTTCCAACTGACAGATTCTCTAATTGTGATTGGTGCTTCTGCTTGAGTTAACAAGCAAGCAAAATTAACCAAAAACTGGCGCGTTTTATGTACTCGTAACCTGTTAGAAATCAATAGTCTTAACGCACTCATATCTGTACCTGCTAATGCTTGTACGAAATGAAGAAGTACAGCAAATTGCAATCGCACGAGTCAATAACAAAAAAATGAAAAATCGTGCGACAG